GACCTGCTGCCACCTGAGTGGTGGTCCAGTGGCTAGCTGAGCAGGCTGTGCGTGCTTCATCACCTCGCGGGGTGGTAATAACAGGGAATCTCTGGGACTATTTCCTCTGCAGGCCTCCAGGATCATGTGGTACGTCAGCACCCGGGGAATGGCCCCTCGGGTGGACTTTGAGGGGGTCCTCTTCTCTGGCTATGCATCCGATGGGGGCCTCTTCATTCCTGAGGAGCTCCCACAGCTGGGCAGAGAGACTCTGCATAAGTGGAGCACGCTCTCCTACCCTGGCCTGGTGAAGGAGCTGTGCGCCCTCTTCATTGGCCCTGAGCTCATTGCGAGAGATGACCTACATGGTGAGCTCCCTGCCCCCACCAGCCCAGCCTCCTGTAGACACCCAGCCAGGAAGACCACTCATGTCTTATACCCCAAACTTTAAGAGTTTTTTCCAGAGTCTAGAATACCCAAATTGGGAATTTCCCTAGAGTCCATCTATTCCAGCTTCCCATCTCCAGTGAGTTGAATGCTGAAATGATTTGCAGAGAATTTTTTTTCCGTTGAATTATTTTTTAAAAATCTAATTAAGTCTAGGAATTTCACAGTTATCCTGAGTGGCTTGAATGTTGGAATGTTTCCTTCCTGCATATAAACCACCCATACCCCCAGATCGCTTTTTTTTTTTTTTTTAATTTCCTTGAATGGTAACTACAAAAGGGACCTTGAAAGTGTCCCGAACTGTAATTTACTTATGGATTCCCTAGAGATCTCGTTAAAAAGCAGATTCTGATTCAGTAGGTCTGGGGTGGGACCCGAGATTCTGCATTTCTATCAAGTGTCCAAGGAGTCCATGGATGGTGCAAACTGTTTTTGTGCTCGGCTGATAACTGAAAGGTTGGAGGTTCGAGTCTACCCAAGACACCTTGGAAGAAGGGCCTGGCGATCTACTTCCTAAACATCAGCCATTGAAAACTCTATAGAGTAAAGACAGTGTTCTACATCCTAGTTTGGTAAGTAGTGCCTGGGGTCTTAAAAGCTCATGAGTGGCCATCTAAGATACAACTACTGGTCTCTACTCGTCTGGAGTTAAAGAGAAAGAAGGAAACCAAAGACTCAAAGAAGAAATCAGTCTACAGAACCAACAGTCTACATGGACAACAACATCACCTGAGACCAGAAGAACTAGATGGTGCCTGGCTACTACTTGCTGTTCCAACCAGGGATGCAATAGATGGTCCTGAATAGAATGGGAGAAAAATGTAAAACAAAACTCAAATGCCTAAAAAAAGACCAGACTTACTGGACTGGTAGAGACTAGATGAACCTCCAAGACTACTGCCCAGACATACTCTTTAAACTTGGAACTCAAACTACTCCCAGAGGTTATATTTCAGCCAGATGACAGATTGGCCCATAAAATAAATAATATCATCCATGAGTACTGTGCTCCTTAAAATAATTGTCTGGATGAAACCAAATGGTTAAGATTTACCCTAGACCAAAGATGAGAAGGTGGGGGGCGGGGGCAGAGGGAAGCTAGATTAATAGAAACAGAACAACCAAAATAGAAATAACAAGGATGCTGGTATATTGTGAAGAATGTAACCAGTGTCACTGAATAATAGTATAGGAATTTTTAAATGAGAGCCTAATTTCCTGTGTACACTTTTACCAAAAGGCCAATAAAATTTTTTTTTTTTTTTAAAAAAAGACACTATGGAGCACAGATCGACTCTGACACATACAGGGTCACAATGAGTCAGAGTTGACTTGACAGCAACTGTTTGTTTTTTTTCCCAAGTGTTCAGGTAATACCAGTGCTGCTGGTCCATGGACCAC